CACTGGGAATGGAGAAAAGGTTTACTAAACGGAGTATTGTTGTGAGACGTTCCTTGTGCAATGATGAGGTCTCCTCAATGGGACCAGGAAAGGGATGAGAATGAGCCGGAGAAGACAGTGACTATTAAGTGATGATGTTTCAGTGGCGGCAGCAGGTTAAACAATGAGCAAGTGGGCATGATGTTTACATGTACCTATTAGTACCCTGTGAAAAAACGTAGCATCTAGTTTGGCTAACTAGAGTGTAGCTGATTAAAAGAGGGGATGCTAAGCAATGTTGTGGCAATGAAACACTCTAGCCTACCTAGCCCGATTACCAATGACTAGACTTGGCATCAGGTAGTGGTGGAGTTTTGCAAAGACACAAAACTTGAACCGGAAACCATCTCTTCTCCCCTTTGCCTTAACAACCCAGCAATTTCATGGGATTTGGGGATAAAGAGGTCCAGTGCCTTACTCTAAATCCCCTACTGGATTCCACTTTATCTTCACCACTTTGCAGTCTCCTGTAAAAGGGAGGCAGGAGTACAGAGCCAGCTGGCCAATAGTATAAAGGAGAGAAGAGCTTCTGTTCCTGAGAGCAGGGAGGAGATTGGTCTTTAGCACAGTTATAATGTGATCATAAACAGATTATCAACCTTCTAAACCCAATAATATCAATGGGCTTAGAAAGGTGCAACTCTGCTTAGAATTGCAATACTAGCCATATGGCAGGTCTATGTACATGCTATTAAATGCTTTTAAAATTAAAGGTGCTTGTAAGCAAATCTGATTAGCAGTGGGGAATGGTCCTTCTGTGAAGGCTGTGAACTTTGAAGAGTAGCATCACAGATGCAACTACATATAGGAGGCAGACATGGAAGTATCCTGCTGTGTATGCAGTTGCTGGCTCATGAAGTAAAGTTCATGAGATTTGGGTGTTTGATGGTCTCAGGGCTCTGAGCCACCCTGTCTCTGCTCACACTGAGTGGTGGTGCTTAGCTATTGGGTGCCTTGGCTGAGTAATGCTCCCTCTAAGCTATGGAGTCTTGTGAGCAAAAACTCTACTTTGTGAGCTACTGGCATTAAAGTTGTGAGTGAGTGATTTGTCTGCCGCATAAATTAGTTTTCTCTGGAGCCATCCTTTTTGAGCTCAGACAAAAATCTGTGAGCTGGAGGCTAAATAATTGTGAGCTAGCTCACACTAACTCAGCTTAGAGGGAACACAGGTGAGGACCCACATTTTATACCCTCCTGATTGTGAACTTCTCTTCCTCCACTGGGGTTTGGGTGTTAGATGGACTCAGGGCTCTGAACCACCGCGTCTCTCTGCTCACACGGAGTGGTGGTGCTCAGGTACTGGGTGCCTTGGCTGAGTGAGGACCCTCATTTTATACCCTCCTGATTGTGAACTTCTATCCCATGCTGGGGTTTGGGTGTTAGGTGGATTCAGGGCTCATGTCGGGCCACATGACAGCCTTGTGTGACCAGTACTCCAGGGGATTGGTGTTGGTGGTCTCAGGAGACTTGGCGAATGGCAAGGTACTCCCTCACCACCTCTGCCAAATCTTCTGCCACTGCACGCCTGGCTTCCCCACCATCCCAATTCACCACTGACAACCAGTAGCGTGGTTTCTCCCTGGTTGGTCTCTGAGGCAGAGGTGCTGGACTGTGGCTCCTCCTCCTCCCCCCCAGCCTCTTCCACCCGCTGTTCCTTCTGACCACGTCTGTTGGCCTGTAGCTTCCACACTTCTTTGCAGAGCTCATGCTTCCATTGTAAGAGCTCTGCATTCAGGAGAGCAATGCTGTCTTTTATCTGGGGGACACAGATACAGGTCAGCTTGTACTTTATTGCAGAGAGGATGCAACCTGGTGGTGATGCCAACCTGCAGCCTCTCTGCCAAGGCCCCGACCTGTGGGAGAACTGCTGGCTCCGGTGTGGGGGCCAGCACCTGGTCCAGCCCTTGAATCATGGGGATGACATGCCCCAGGCTGGCCATAGGGGTGCAGAGCATGTCATCAGTGGTGTCCTGGAAGGGCTTGAGGACACGCACCATTTGGGAGAGGGCCAGCCAGTCATTGGAGCTGATGCTGAGCTCCTCTTCCCCATTCAGGATGGTCATGGAGGAGATGACATCCCGCTCAGCGCTCTTCTGTTCTACCAAATGCAGAATCATGGCATACGTTGAGTTCTTCATCCCCCTCCCCCTACCTCTCACTCAGCAGACAGGCAGATTTGATGCTGCGCCAGAAGTGGGCGGCCCGGCACTGACATGTCTTCAGCAAGGACTGCGTCTCAAGGGGGGCAGCAGTCCAGGTGTCCTTGACAGTGCTCCCCAGCCCCAGAGCATCCTTCACCACAAGCTGAAGCATGTCCACCAGGTGGACGATGCCATTGAGGTGCACATGCTTCAACTCTGCCAGCATGTTGGCACTGGCGTCCATGACCATGTAGCCATGGATGAAGTTGCCACCACCCACCCACTTCCTCAGGCTCCTCACAGGGTGTCTGTTGTGGGGAGGGGAACGGAAAGGAGTTTGTAAGCCGCTCTGAGACTCCCTTGGGTAGTGAAGGGCGGGGTATAAATCCAATCTCTTCTCTTCTTCTTCTCTTCTCTGTATCACACAGCGGCAATGTTTTGCACTGTGTGGTCTGCATCCCTCCCATGCTCATGGAGCAGAACTACTTTGTAGCCTGGTAGCAGGACTGTCCCCTCCTGGGGCCTGGGCTGTGCCCTGATCCTGCTGGCTACTCCAGAGGTCCGCCGTGAAGTGTGCACGGTTCTGCCTTGCACTCTGGAGAGCGGAGTCTTGACCATCGCCACCACAGCTGGCGAAAGGCTATGTCTTCACAAGGGAGAAGGGTTGGCCATCCACAGCAATAATGTCGCTGATGACGAGGCAAGTGTCTGCTTCCTGGGCCCTCCACCTAGCCCTTTTGACCTCTTGAAGGGTGGCCTGCCTTGATGTCCCACCCATGGCAGGGGCCTCCTGCTCCCTCTCCACTTCTCCCTGCTGAGAGAGAGAGGGCCTCTTCTTCCCACTGGCCGCGCGACGCTTTCCTCTGGTGGCAACATACTGGGGTGCACCCCTTGCAGGTGCCTGCAGAAGATGGAAGGGGACAAGTAGTGGGGTGGGTTTGCACCCCTCCAGAGAGGGATGTGGCACACCTGGCCCTCTGCCACACAGGGGTCACTGGGGAGGGTGTGGAAATGTCTCCAAACTATGGCCCCATAACTGGAGAATGTGGGAGGCACAGCAGCTTTCTGGCAGTAGGCTGGGAGGGGCCACGGAGGGGTGTACCTGAGGCGGGAGCAGCAATAGGGAGTTGGGATGTGGATGCTTTCCCCACACCCTCTGAATCATCTCCAAAGAGAGTTAGCAGCTGCTGGTGTCTGGGCAGTGCACACAACCTTTTCCCCTCTGTGGAGAGCCCCGGGGGAAGGAGGCTCTGAGACCCCTGGTGATGCCCTACTAGGGCTGGGCTCCAGTGTCCTGGCAGGATGGGTTTGGTGGTTGGTGGTGGGGGCCTATAGAATGGAGGGGGTGGGGGAATTCCCTCTGGCAGTAGGCTGGGAGGGGCCACGGAGGGGTGTACCTAAGGCGGGAGCAGCAATAGGGAGTTGGGATGTGGATGCTTTCCCCACACCCTCTGAATCATCTCCAAAGAGAGTTAGCAGCTGCTGGTGTCTGGGCAGTGCACACAACCTTTTCCCCTCTGTGGAGAGCCCCGGGGGAAGGAGGCTCTGAGACCCCTGGTGATGCCCTACTAGGGCTGGGCTCCAGTGTCCTGGCAGGATGGGTTTGGTGGTTGGTGGTGGGGGCCTATAGAATGGAGGGGGTGGGGGAATTCCCTCCCTCCGATGGGGGTGGGAGGGTGTAAATGTGGGAGAGCTTTTCTTGTGGGGGGGTCTGTACCTGGGACCCCAGAAATGTAATCTGCCCCCAACTTGGAGATATTGTAGAGGAGCCAGTCCTAACATCTGCTGTGGAAGGAACCCTGGAGGCACGACTATTATTTAGGAACATACTTGAAATAGTTCCTGTGCCTTATTTCAGTGTATGAACACACATCAGCACCATCTATGAACACTTGGGTTGGGCAAGAAACTGTAACCAGTCTTTCTTTATTATGCAGGACAGTTTGCATCACTAATCACTTTAAATGGAAAACTCTGATGTCCACTCTGGTCTGGTGGGGGCTGGGCTGCCCTCCAGGCTGTCTGAAGTCTCCTGTCCTGTCTGCCTTCCTGTCCTTCCAAATCTGCCTTTGGAGAATTGTGGGTGTTTCTTTTCCCCTGCAGAACAGAAGAATTTGTCATGGGGTGTTTCAGCCCTGGGGGGGTGGGCCTGTGAGGGTTGTGGGCAGGCTTCCCTTGCTTGTCTGGTGTGACTAGGGTGCCCACCAAGCTGCCGTGGTGTTACTTTGGGGATCCCCTGTCAGAACTCAGGGTTATGTCTGCCTTTCTGTCATTCAGAACTTGCTTTTGGAGACTTGGGGGGGGGGGCGGTGCGCATAGGGTTGATCCTTGCCTTGCTTTTTTGGTGGTGGGGGGGTCTCCCCAGGTGAATTTTCCCTGTGAGTTTGGTGTCACTGGCTTGTTCCTGAGCCGTTCTATAGACTCCTGACTTTTCCAGATAGAGCACTGGGGAGACCTTGGGGGGTGGTCTGTAACTGGGACCCCAGAAATGTAATCCGCCCCCAACCTGGAGAGATTGTAGATGAATGGACAGCTGGGTGAGGTTCCCTCTGTGTTTAGAGTGTGTAGCTTGCAGGAGGTCCAGTCTGTACACTTTTGAGCCTGTGCCTGACATTTCCCCAAAAAGCACTTTCCTGGCTTGACCGTAGTCCTGTTGGACTTGCAGTGCCACAGTGGCACTGATTCTGCTGGGCACATTGCACTGGTTCTTCTGGGCTTGAAAAAATGCCCCCCACCTTCAGTTTCTACTGTAGAGATTCTCTGCGACTTTGATTCTGTTCTGTTGGGCTTCTATTGCCTTTGCTTTTTTGCTGTTTTTCCCCTGCATTGGAAACAATGGAGGATGGGGGCACCTTCTTTGAGGGCCGTAACTCAGTCCCAGTAAATCCAATCCTCACCAAACTTGGAGGTTAGGTATAGGAAAGTCAGTCAGAGATCCACTGCAAGTGTGGTGTCTCTAGCTTGCACAGGAGCTGCTCTATATGCTCTTGAACCTCCTGAACCTGTACCTGTCATTTCCCCAGAAAGCACTTTCCTGGGGACACCTTCCTTAGGGAGCTGTAACTCAGAACTCCTAAGTCCAATCCTCACCAAACTTGTAGGGCAGGTAGAGTCATCCAGAGATCCCCTGAAAATTTGATGTCTCTAGCATGCCGGGGGGCATTCGACCATGTCACAAACCTCGTGAACTGAACCTGTTTGTCTAGCATCAAAAAGTTTGTGGCAGTCCGTGGTTCACGAACTGTGTATGCCACAAACTGATACAAACAGCATTTTCCCAGTTTGTGCCCATCCTCAGTTGCACATGTAGGAGAATCTGGATTGTGGCCTCACTTTGATAATAAAAAGAACACTGAATTCTAATGTGTATCTTATACTAAATATTGCTCTCACGTGGAACAAGAAAATCTCAGACAACCTTAAGAAGGGAGACTCTTGACTGAGTTGATTCTGGACAACGTATTGTATGTATCCTGTTCCTTGCTACAAAGAGTTAAGGGTGTCATATATGATTTCTTCTCCATTGTATTATCGCAATAACTCTGTGAAGTAGGTTAGATTGAGAGGTTATGACTGACCCATGTGATCCAGTGATTTTGGGATTTGAACCCAAGTCTCCTCGCTCCGTCCAGCACTTTGGCCTCTGCACCACACTGGCGCTGTTATTTGCTGTTCTGCCTAACAGCAGCTCAGCAGTCTACTTGCTTGAACAATGTGATATGGGAGCAGTCAGTCGAGGCGAGATCATCTGTTTCTTTTTGAGAGAGAGGGAAGCAGCAGACTTCCCATTTCGCAAAAGAGGAGCTGCACTCTTAGATGAGTTTGTGGCTCTGATGTCACTCCGCTCGTGTGGGGATTTTTTTTGTGCATGCAGATCCTTCTTTGATCATTGGAACCACCTTTGCAAGAAGACTTTGATCACTACTTCATTTGCTGAGGAGTGTGGCCAATATTTGGAACCCGCGGGTGCATATGTATGCTTTGTACTCAAAGACTGCAGCTAGCTGAATGGGTTTTGCAGCAGTTTTTCTCCTGTTTCTCATAGGTTTTCCTGCTGGCTGGTCGGAAACGCAAAAAGAGCAAGACCTCTAATTACTTGATTTCTGTTGATCCAACTGACCTGACTCGGGATGGAGGGAACTTCATTGGAAAACTGAGGTTAGAGCTGCCATATCAAAATGATTAAAATCCAGGACACTCCTTGGCAAAGCCATCAAATAATACGAGGCACCCCTTTTAATGCCAGGTGGTCAACCTGCCAGTTGGATGTCTGGGAAAGACCTGTGACTGCTTCCCATTTTGGTACCTATTGTGGGACTCAGGGCACATTCCAAAAGTGGGGAATAAAGGAATGACTTAAGCATCTTTAGCATTGCAGCATCTGGAGTCTCTGGACTATGGAAGCCTACAGGACAGCTCTTGCAACAGAGCTTCAGGCTTCGGCTTCCTTCAACTGCTCCACAGCGCCACCAGCTGGTATTTCCTTGCATTCCTTGCTTGGCAAATGCACAAGTCACAGCAGGGATAACAGCTTGGTGACTTTTAGTTTGTCAGATCCCTGTGAGTGAAGACAGATACAAAGGCTTGAGCAGTGAGCCTGCTGTGTATTCACTCCTTGCTGGACAGACAGACAAACTTTACAAAATTGAGCCCAACCAGTTCTGTTTCCTGGAGGGATTGGTTGTGCAAAATGTTGATTGGCTATCCCTTATGGCACTCAGGAAGCAACATCCCCATCCCTGCAAGACATGCTTCAAGTTAAAAAAACAACAAATTACTTTAAAAAACAAAGGTGCTGAATACATGCCTCAGTGGATAAAAATGCCAGAAAAGAGGTGTTTTGTTTTTTTAAAGTACCCATAGGTACACTTTTATTAATTTTTCTTTTATAATCTACAACAAACAAATCTACACACTACAAACAGACACTCTACTACACATAACATGTATGCCAAGAGTACAGTTACATTATATGCTTATATCCTATTACTTAATTAATAGAAACGCTCTATCACTTTCCATTCTTCTGTCTTCTGTGTTCTCAAGTCCATTGTGCCATAATTGCCTAATCTTCTATTATATTTACATTATACCAATCATAAAACTTTTTCCATGTTTTTTGAAATGTCCACTCTTTGCTTAATCTCATTTCTAAAGTCAGTTTATCATTTTCTGCTGTTTCAAAAAGTTTATTCACAAACTCCTGTTTCGTTGGTATCACCATAGTTTTCCAATATTTGGCATATAAAATTCTTGCAGCTGTCATCATATAAACAGTCAAATACCTATTCTCTTTTTCATAATCATTTGGAAATATATTCAACAGCAAGACCTTATTTTGCTTAGCCAGTCTATCAGGTGTAATATACCATCTATAAAACATCTTATACATATTCTCTTTATATGTTATAGCATTAGTCATTTTAATATTTTTCTCCCAAATCTGCTCCCAATCTTCCAGATTTATAGTATGCCCTAAATTCTGAGCCCATACAATCATATTATTCTTCACAATTTCCTCTACCATTGTATCATCCAACAAAATTTTATATATTTTCTTTATCATTTTACTATCTGCTGTTAACATAACATTTTCCAGTTCGGTTATTTTACAATTAAATCCCACTTTTTTGTCCTTCAAATATATTGATTCCAGCTGTGCTTTTTGCCACCAGGACA